AGAAACCCCTCAGATGGTGATCTCAGAGCCTGGCCAGGTTCACATGTGGAGAGGTGGTCCCGGTGGAGTACAGGGTCAGGTTTAAGGTGCTGGTTTTGACCTTTAAAGCCCTATGCGGCCTAGGACCCACGTACCTACGGGACCGCCTCTCCTGATATGCCCCACGGAGGACATTAAGGTCCACAAATGACAACATTTTGGAGGTCCCAGGTCGCAAGGTGGTTAGATTGGTCTTAACTAGGGCCAGGGCCTTTTCAGTACTGGCCCCTACTTGGTGGAACGCTCTGTCACAAGAGACTAGGGCCCTGTGGAACTTGATATCTTTCCGCAGGGCCTGCAAGACAGAGCTGTTCCACCTGGCCTTTGGTTTGGACTCAGTCTGACCCTTATGTTTCCCTCCCCTTATGGTCTTGATTTATCGGCTACTTTAAAATGAGGCTGCATTTTAAATTGCATTTTAACCTGTATTTTAAATTGGTTTTTTTCTCTCTCTCTCTCTCCTCCCCCCCCCCCATTACTGTGATTTTATTGGTGTTAGCTGCCCTGAGCCCGGCTCTGGCCGGGGAGGGCGGGATATAAATAAATTTTATTATTATTATTATTATTATTATTATTATTATTATTATTATTAAGAACCCTATGTTCTTATCACTGTTCCTGCCTCCGAGTCCCCTCTTTTTCCACTTGCACATCCATCTGCCAAGTACCACCTTCCTAAACAGCTTTAGAGCTCTTAATCTAAGTGCCTGTAATCTCTGTGCAGCTAATCATGGCCCTGGCAGCATCAAGGGAAGTACTAGGAGCCAGAATGAGTCACCCCCTCCGTCGACTGCCATGCATATTACATTCTAAAAGTTTGAAAGGGTATATTCAAATCCTAGAGCAATTTCCTCTAAGCTTGGAGTCATTTGTTTTGGGGGACAGGCATTTCTTTGTAATGTGTCTGTTATTTCAGCAAATGTGGCTTGGAGCTGCAATATAAAGGGTTACTGAGCAGGTTGTGAAGCTGTAAATCGCCTCTTCAGTAAGGAAGCGCAACACGGCTTTTTCATTTCAGAGCCAGAAGGTGGCTGTCAAGTTCAGTCTGACCCATTGAACCAAACAGGAAATCCTTGCCCATCCCAAACAGTGGTGGTCTCTTAGCAGAACTGATTCCATGGTGCCTTCTTGGACTACAACAATGCTCTCTATGTGGGGCTACCTTTAAGGTGACCCAGAAACTACAACTAATCCAGAATGCAGCAGCTAGACTGGTGACTGGGAGTGGCCGCCGAGACCATATAACACTGGTCCTGAAAGACCTACATTGGCTCCCATTATGTTTCCGAGCACAATTCAAAGTGATGTTGATGACCTTTAAAGCCCTCAATGGCTTTGGCCCGGTGTACCCTGAAGGAGCATCTCCACCCCCATCATTCAGCCCGGACATTGAAGTCAAGCTCTGAGGGCCTTCTGGCAGTCCCCTCCCTGCGAGAAGTGAGGTTACAGGGAACCAGGCAGAGGGCCTTCTTGGTAGTGGCACCTGTAATTCAATGGGAGGGCACCTGCTTTTAATGCAGAAGTTGCCAGCTTCCCAGGACCAATTCCCAGTTTCTCCAGGCTGGGCTTGGAGAAGACCTCAGTCTGAAACCCTGGAGAGCCTCTGCCAGTCACTGCAGACAGTATTGAGCTAGGTAGACCAAAGGATCTGACTTGGTATATAGAATCATAGAGCTGGAAGGGGCCAGCCCAGCCTCCTTCCTCCTCTAGGCAGGGCGGGGAAAAGCCAGGAGGAGGGAGGGAAGAGGCGCCACCACGGTGTGTGTGAGGGAGAGGGGGGGGATGGAACGGCGTAGGGGGAAAAATGGTGCACCCTGAATGAACAGAATCCCAACGCCGATCCACAGACAGTCAGCAGCCTGGACCCTGAAGGCAATTGGGCCTGATACGGCCCCTGGGCCTTAGTTTGCTGACCCCTGCTCTACTGACTGAGCTATCCACCTTATGTTCCTGGTCTAGGTTTGTACAGTGATACCTTGGGTTAAGAACTTAATTCATTCTGGAGGTCCGTTCTTAACCTGAAACTGTTCTTAGCCTGAGGTACCACTTTAGCTAATGGGGCCTCCCGCTGCCGCTGCGCAATTTCTGATTTCATCCTGAAGCAAAGTTCTTAACCTGAGGTACTATTTCTGAGTTAGCGGAGTCTGTAGTCTGAAGCGCCTGTAATCTGAAGCGTCTGTAACCCGAGGTACCACTGTATTGTATACATTCAGCAGAGTCTGAAAGTTTTTCCTGAACTGGACCACTTCAGGCTGCAGGTGAGGGCCTGCCTGAATGCCCCCCCCCCCCAAGGAAAAGAACCCCCTGCTTCCTGGCCTGTGGGAAAACGCTGACCTGAAGGGAATCTGGTCCTTTTGCTGGATAACGTCCCCCAACCCTGTAGCAGAGACATGAGCTTGAAAGATTGGGCCACTTCCTTCCTAAAAAAACTGCAGCCTGCTAACGTTTTTTAACAGTTCCATTTTGTACTCAGGCTTAGTTAATCTTCAATCCAGAGTATAAGAACCCAAGAATTACATCGCCACCACCACCATTAGAATTATGTACATATCAGTACATTGCGAATTCAAAAACCAAAATGAAAACAAGCCGATAGTTAGAATTTAGAAGAATACATAAAATTATGAGTAAACTTTAAGCAACAATAATTAATATTATAACTCAAAATTGAAAATTGGAAACAAAAAGAGAAAAGAAGAAAATGGGGAGCAAAGCAATTAAGAACCTTAATTACATTGTTCCAAAAGCTTGTGCTGAGCTGGCAAAGCACTTTATTGGGCAGCTTGGTGGATTATCCTGAAAGGAAGTTGTCTGTTTTTGGCCAGACATTTAAATCACATTATTTCTCCTGAAGAATCCTGGGAGCTGTAGTTTACCCTTTTCAGAGCTCCGTTCCCTAGCACCCTTAGCAAACTACAGCTCCCATGATCCTTTGGGGGGAAATAACAAGCTTTAAATGTGTGGTGTGCATGGATCCTTTGTGAGCCACCAGGTGGCCAAAGAGCACTTTGATTTCCGAGCTGATAAGGGCGTGAGAACCACAGCCAGAGGCAGGATTCTCCTAATGGGAGGCAATTACAGCAATATGCCGTATGCCGCAGTAACCCCAGCGACTGCTGTTGTGTGCAGTTTTCTTTTTTGTTTGTTTGCATGGCATCCCATGTGAACATTTCAAAACAGGTTGGCTTACAAAGGTGTTGTCCTCTTGCAGGAGGGGAATGCTTCCTGCTGGCCTGTGAGAATAGCTCTGTGTATGCTTGGAGGGTGAGGGGAGGGGAGAGAAATCTGAAGAGCAGGGGTACAACCGTGTGCTTGGTGTTACACCACATCCACAACATGGATTTAAGCCACCACATTGCTTCCCCCAGAGAATCCTGGGAACTGTGGTATGTTAAGGGTGGTAGGAATTGTATCTCTGTACAGAGCAAGCAACAGTTCCCTAAGATTATTTGTACGGTGTGCATGTGAGCCTGTTTACTTTGCTTGTGCCCTAGGAGTTTTGTTGCTTCTCTGGGTCCTTGCAGACAGTTGCTATTTGGGGGGTGGGATTCAGCTAAAAAGGTAAAGGGACCCCTGACCATTAGGTCCAGTTGTGACCAACTCTGGGGTTGCGGCGCTCATCTCGCTTTATTGGCCGAGGGAGCCGGCGTACAGCTTCCGTGTCATGTGGCCAGCATGACTAAGCCACTTCTGGCGAAACCAGAGCAGCACATGGAAACACCGTTTACCTTCCCGCCGGAGCGGTACCTATTTATCTACTTGCACTGGTATGCTTTTGAACTGCTAGGTTGGCAGGAGCAGGGACCGAGCAACAGGAGCTCACCCCATCACGGGGATTCGAACCGCCGACCTTCTGATCGGCAAGTCCCAGGCTCTGTGGTTTAACCCACAGCACTACCCGCGTCCCTCTGGGATTCAGCTACACACCAGCAAATTAAGGTTGTGCCATTATAGCTGGTCTAAGAGCTCTTGTGCAACTAACCCACTACCTCAAAAGATCAGACTTTTTTTGGGGGGGGGCGACGACGAAAAGGCAAGTTATGGGAAAATTCACTATGTAGGTGTGGAATAAACACATGCAGCATCATCTAACCTCTGCACAAGCAAATTGGAATAAATGCTTGTTAAATAGCCAATGCTGTCTCATCTCCCTGCAAGCAAATTAGGATGAACGTTCAGTAAACAGGTCATTGGGAAGCACCCTCCGAGTCTTCTACCTGTTCTACCAAGGAAATAATTCCATAACATCTTGTAGAAGGACACCTGGCAACAAAGCCGGTTGTTGGGGCAGAGCGCAGTGCTCTTGTTAACTTCGTCCCCATTCACTTCTTTGTGTAAAAGTGTCGTGTGACTCATAATAATAAGTTAATTACATAAGTAGAATTGCAATCCGTTCAATTTTTTTTTTTAAAAGAAGGGAGAGGAGAGAGGGATGCAGTTAATGTAACCTATGCAGGTGAGATCCTGCAACGACAGTGCCAGTTGCACAGACTGGCATATGGAGTAAAGTGATCCTGCGAGTAGATGAAATGAGGATTATTTATTTGTTTTGTTTGACAATATCGTATGGTTGTAATGAAACTTGAAAGCAGTTTACAAAAGGAATTGAGCAGGCAGAAGATTCATAGGGTATTCCATCATCACACTCCAGCTCAATCAAAGACAGGTAGGATTTTGAACCTTAGTCACCCTGTTCAAATGCTCTGTGCACCACACTTAGCAGATTATTTTTATAGAGTAATCTATACTGTCTTTGGATAATACGCCTCCAAGAGAGCATTTCTGATGATTCCTGAGTGGGCTTGGAAGGAGCTGGAGAGATATGCTTTGATTGTATCATTAGTAAGCTAGTTTGGGCTGCAGCATATAGCCCGTTGGCCAACTTTGTCATGCATTAACTCGAGTTTGTGGGTTTAACCTTTGGTGCTGTTTGTCATTTCAGAGAAGGAGCCAGCGAACCAGATTCCTGGAGCGCCTTGTCGCACACAGTGCATTCCGGGGAGTACTGTGTGAAGTACCACCGGGGGCTAAACATTTATACCCTGACGGTTGAAACGAAGGAAGGAGCGGGATCGAGCATGGAGAGCGACGTCGTCTGCCTCCAAACGCACATACAGAACCATCAGCACATGGTGAGGGCAAGAGGACTGTGTCAGTTTGGCACACTAAGCTTGGAGTTTATATAAGGAGTTAAAAAAAACTTTCCAGCCATTCAGTTCAGAATTTCATGGGTGCTTAATTGCCTGCTTTTTCTTTGCTCACGCACAATTTGGGTTGTTTGTCTCCTGTTTTTGGAAGGGAGGGAATGACGTGCATTTACGGCAGGAGTGGAGAACGTCCAGCCTGCAGGACAAATCTGGCCCAACGAGAGTCCCAGTTTGGCTCACAAGGCTCTTTCCCCTGAACCACGGCCACCAGACTCTCACACGACTCTGCAACTTGAGTGCTTTGCTTGGCTGGAATGTGTCCTTCCACTCTGATATTGCCTCGTGTGTGCCTGAACGGAGGAGAGAGTTGTGTGTAGAAAGTAGCTCACTGTACAGAGGTACAAAAACTACATAAATTGCTGCACCCGGTTTTGCCTCTGGACCCTCCCCCCACTGGCATGTGGCCCTCAGAAGGTTTCAAAGAAGGGAATGTGGCCCTGAGACTAAAAATGGCTCCTTAACCCCAGACGTAATTGCATCTTGCGTTATAGATCCTGCATTAAGCAGGAGGAAATAGGGAACACTGTGTTTCTTTTGAGAAAGGTCCAGATTTCATCAGCTCCTGGAACCCCAATTAGTAAAATAGAGTCTAGGTTATTGAGAGGGGTGTGTGTATGTATTAAAATAGAACAACACTTTAACCTGTTGCTTCACACTCCCACTGGTTTTCAGCTAGCGGTAAAGTGCAGCCAGCAACACATCATGTACCAGGATTTTTTAAAATGATAGCGCAAGCACTGGATACGGGTACATCATGTCTGACAAATCGGAAAGGCTATGTTTAGATGGCCTTCCTCTGAGGCCTGGTTTGCTTCACATCTAATCTAATTTGGATTTGGACCAGGGCCTGTAATTATTTCATTTCAGTTCGTGCAGGGTCAGCTGAGAGGCTGCCGGCTTCCTCTGGAAAGGGACTGAGTCCGCCCCCCCCCCCAATTCAGTCTGTGTGGAAGCAGAATGACTTCATTCAGAGGATGATGGACAACTCCCATTTCCCTCTTTGCTTCTCTCCAGGACACTTCTGTGTTCCAGAACAAGTGACACTTGCCCCTGTCTCCCCTCGTGGTGCTGGCTGGGAACCAGCTGAAAATTCTCCCTCTGCCCTTGCAGCAGCATCAATAATCACAGGAGATTCAGCTGAGGCTTCATTTGAGTGTGTCCACTTGTGCTGATAATTTTCAGAGAGGGAGGGGAGAGAAATCTATTCTTTTCTGAAATGTGGGTGATACTTGGGACAAAGAGCGAGAGTAGAGGCGCATTTACTTCTACGAATCAGCTGTGTGCGCGTTGCTCTCACACACCATGCAAGCGCAGAATCTGAACGCTGGGTTCAGCATCCCGAGAGAGCCCCCGCTTTGGATTTTGAAAAGTCAAGTTTGTAGGCTTGGAAATGTGTGTGAGCATTGCAGCTATCAAGGCTAGCTCTGTACTGCATCTCAGCTGCTGGGAATCACAAGTGCTGTTGTGCTCAGGTCTTGCTTATGGGCTTCCCACAGGCACCTGGTTGGCCATTGTGGACTAGATGGGCCTTTGATCTAATCCAGCAGGCCTCTTCTGTTCATGGTGAAATCATAGAAGCAGGGAGAGAGGCAGCTAGGTGTGTTCAGCACGATTTCCAGAGGATAGCAGTTCTCTGCCCGACATAATAATTCCTTGCGCCTCCACATAACAAAAGCCTTTCAAGGTTTGAGCTAGAGTCCAGCATTCTGTTTTCAACAGCAGATACTTAGGGTCATTGCAAAACTTGCAAGCAGTTTTGTCCTCCAGAGCAGCTGGAATTTAATGGTAGACTGCCTCTGTCGCTGGAGGTTTCACATAGCTGTAACGGTTAATAAATACTTCTCTATTAACTTGCATAATTTAACATTTAAAGCCAGCTAAATTAGTGTCTCTCTCCATGACTTGTGGCAGCAAATTATGTTACATTAAACACTCAGTTTCAGAAGTTCTTTCCTTTGGCCTGTCCTAAACAGTACTGCTAATCACTTTGACCCCCCCCCCAGCCCACCCTCTGCCTGGTCCCCTGAATTCTAATTCTCTTTTCAACACCATTCATCATTCTAGAAAAGTCCCCTCTCAGTTGTCTTTCTTCCCACAAACTAAAAAGCTTCAGTGCCTTTCCTTATGGGGAGGATGTCCTGAGTCCTTGTCATTTTGGATGCCGTTCACTAGCTAAGGTGTGTCAAATTGTTCAGAATTACTTTTAATTGCTCAGTTTGTATGATGTTAACATAATTCAGGGAGACCAGCTTTTCACGAAAGTGAGATTGAGTTACTTTATGCAGAGTTCTGTGTGTGCGTGTTTAAAGCAAAGGGTAAGATAAAAGCATAAGAGCCGCCCTGCTGGATCAGACCGAAGGCATATCTGGCCCAGCATCCTGCTTTCACAGTGGCCAGTCAGGTGCCCATGGAAAGCCTGCAACTTCTTCATGCAGGGCATAATTGCATCTTCTATTTATTGGGGGCCGGGGAAGGAAATAATAAAGAAGAGAGTAATTTAGCCTACAGCCTGAAATGATAAAAGCAGCTAGGGAGGTCAATCTGGGCAAAAGTGCGTCATAAACCAAGAGCAACTAAGCTCACTGAGGCTCTGGGTATTTGTACAGGAAAGGCTGGGGGCAGGAAACCAGTGGCCCTCCCGATATTGTTGGACTACCACTCCCTTAATCCCTCCTCACTTGCCATCCTGACTGGGGCTGATAGGAGCTGGAAGGGCCACAGAGTCTCCTGTGAAAAGTAGTTGTCAGCTGGCAGCTTTGAGTCCAGTCCTGCTCCATTTGAGGTGGTCTTCCATGGCTACTTTAAGAGCTTAATAAAAGGCCTGTTGGAATCAGGCCAATGGCCCATCTTAGTCCAGCATCCTGTTGCCACAATGGCCAACCGGGTGACTGTGGGAAGCTCACAAGCAGGACTTGAGCGCAACAGCCCTCTCCTCATTTGTGATCCTCAGCAACTGGTACTCAGGGCTTATTGTCTCTGACAACAGCATTTAGAGGCAAATTGTTAATGAAGGCTGGGGCAGTGGACCTTGCTGTGTGTGCCTGTGTCTGCGCACACATTTTTCCCTTGTGGAAGGGAGGCGAGGGCCACATCCCAAAGAGGCTCTCCAACAAAACCTAGTTGAAAAACAGGATGGTAAAAGGCTGCAAGAATCTTAACAGAAGACACATCTGCTTTGCAAGCATAAAGTCCCAAGTTTAATCCCTGGCGTCTTCAGGTCAGGCTGGGAGAGGCTCCTGCCTCAAACAATGGGGAGCCAATCAGTGAAGACAATACTGAGCTAGATGGACCAATGGTCTATCTTTCTGTGATTGCCACCCTGGGACTGATGTCTTCCTATGGTTAATTGTTGTGTGTGTGGTTTCTTTTATGAACAATTACTTAGAGCTGTTGCAGAAAACTATTAAAGTTACTCAGAAACAGAGCACGTGTGCTTCCAGAGCATGGTAGGATAAAATGAACGTTAAATCTCTCTCCTCTTCTTCCAGAATACCAGTGAACACCCACACCCTGAGCAGGAAACCAGTTGCGAGGACTGCAATTTGGGCCAGGGAGCTGAGGGCCACACAGCTGTTCCGAGTTGCCATCCTGGTGAAATGGCGTCAGAAGGAAACCAAGGAGATGCTTCTGTCCCGCTGGCTCTTGCTGCGATGCAGGTTTTGGCCCTTGCCTGCCCTGAGGAAGATAGACAGCTGAAGGTGCCCTTAGACACGCCAAAAGATTCGTTGAGGCTGGAGGAAGCGGCTAACCCAGAGTCTTCCTGTGAGAGTCGAAATACAGTTACCAGGCTGCACAAAGAGGAAGAGGCGGAGTCAGCCTTTGCTGTAGAGGCCGGGGCAACACTGGAGGCAAATGACGGCAGGCTGAGCCCGCTTGCTGGGCTTCACAGTGCTGTCGGCCTCCCACCCTGTGGAAATACAAGCCAGGAAGTTGGGATGACAACCCCCAGCGTTGCTTTGGAGGAAGGACACCTGTGTGGAAGGGGTACCTCTGACCAGGAAGTGCAGGCAGCTGAAGTGAAAGAAGCTCTTAGTGTCCCTTCGAAGCCTCCGACTTCCCGCAAGGACCAGGATGCAAGCATGGGGCAGGGCGAATGCAGGAGCTGTACGGGGACTGCGGATGCTGCAACCCAGCAGCGTGTGGCGAATGGGGAGAGGGATTGTGAGCCTGCTGGAGCCACGAAAACTTTGCTTCCAGCTGGTGCAGTGCTGAGAGAGCCTGCTGCAAACTTCCCAGGAGACAGCGCTGCTTCTGCTACCCGTAAAGGTGAGGGGGTTGAAGCGGTGGACCTACAAAGTGATGCACCTGCAGATAGTGGCGCAGGTGTTAGTCTTTTCGAGAGCGGAAGTAGCAAAACGGCAGGATCAGAGACTCCCAGCGACAGCGGGAAGGAGGATTTTACAAAGTGTCCGGAGGGCTGTGAGCTTCCTGGTGAGGAGGCACAGAGCACAAGCCCGAGCCCTGCAACAGAAGCGGCGGCAGCAGCAGTGAACGTGACAGGGATTTCCGAGTCTTCTCCAAAGCGTGACCCTGGGGTGGAAGTGCATGAGTGTGGGCAGAAACCGGAAGGTGGAAACCTGCCTACTGACACTCATTCTGATGCCAATGTGGAAAATGATGAGCTGGGTCGAACGTTTGTGGTGGAGCCCAAAGCCCCTGGCGTCACTGATAAGAGAACAGAGCCTGTGGCCGAGGTGGGGGATAAGCAAAAAGACCTTGAGCCGATGCAATCGGGAACCGAAACTGCTAGCTGTGGCTGTGGAGGAAGTGCTGCCTCTACCAGCCTCAGCCAGGGGGCATCTGATACTTGTGATGCTCAGAAAGGAGCTGTCAACATTGAGGAACAAGTTGGCGCCCCTGTATTGTGTGTGGATTCTGCTGATGCCTCTGAACTGCAGGCAGACTCGCTCAGCCCTCCAGTGTCGTCCGCTGCCCAAGAGGAGCCTCTTCCCCTTCCCAAACAGGCAGAGGTGGAGGAAAGCAGCCGAGAGCTGGACCGGTTTAGCAAAAGCGCTCAGGAATTCATTGCCCTGGCTTCTTCCTTGCTTGTCGAAGAAGCGATCCAGCAGGCCCAGCTGATCGTTGCTCAGGAGAGCAAGGCCAGAGCGGCCCCTGTTGGCCAGGAGGCATCTCTGCACCACCAGGACCTTGCCCTACCTTTGTGTGGCAAGGGCACCGAGTGTGCACAGGATAATGTAATGGGCACACCCTCTGCTATTCATAATAGAGAATCCAAACAAATCCAGGAAGTAGGAGCAGCAGCAGCAGCAGCAGAGACAGCAACAGAGCCGACGGCAGCTGCCGCAGAGGGAAGCCCTGTTTGCAGCGAGGAAACGGCAGAGACTCTCTCTCTGGTGGATCACCGGGGAGAAAACCAAGAGGGCTTTTCCGCACAACTGCCTGGAAGCGGACAGGAGCTGCCTGGCAAAGAGGAGGCTTTGTCGGAGGGCCCGGCACCAGCAGCTGTTGTGCAATCCCCTCCTCCTTGTTGTCAGGGCAAGGAGCTGGGAGGCAACGAAAGTAATGCTAAACCAGGGTTGAAGGGAGAAGCCTCCAGCTCAGGCACTGATGAGAATGCGAAGGCGTGTATCTCTGGGGATGCCCTGCCAGGCCCTGGACCGCCAGAGGATGGCTCTCTGTGCCCCCGCGAGGCCCCCTTCCCCGATGCTACGCTGAACCAAGAACTTGAGCCCAGCTGCCCAGATCCGTGTGCAGCCCCTCCACCTGGTGGGGTTGCCGATTTAATGGAAGCCCCCTTGGTCACTAGCGATCTACCCGTTGCAGCCATTCTTCCACGGGAAGGAGGGGAGGAGGTGGAGAACATGCCTTCCAGAGTATTGCTTCAGCCGATTGCAGAAGAGCCCCTTTGCGATGGGGACCCTGGCTCTGAAATGTTCTTTTTGGCCAGCGAGGGGGAAGCTAGGCCTGGAGTTGAAGCAGCCCAGATGGAGGGCCTAGCTCAGCCCAGCAATGGCACAGGGGAGGAAAGCCAAGCTGAACAGGATTCCCAGCTTTTGCAACCCTCTCCCTGCGTGGCTGCCGAGCCTCTGGGAAAAGGGGAGACAGCAGGTTCTGTTCAAGAAGCTGACGGTCCCTTGGTGGATAATGTTGACAAGACAGTTACAAGCGCCGATCAGGCGACAGCCGTGGCAGAAGCATGTGGTCCCTTGGTGTCTCCGGCTGGAAGCTCTGTGGAAATCGCCCCCTTAGCAGAGTCCAGATCTGAGGCACAGCATGCGGCGGATGCTGGATCCATCCCTAATGGAGAAGCGGATTTAAGTTTGCAGCCTGGCGGACTGGCGGAGGGAGCTGCAAGCCCAGCACTTCCAAGCTGTTCACCTGTTGCAGGTAAGCAAAGTTAGACTGATTCTACGTCAGGGCCATGGGATTTGTGTTTTTCCCAGGCAAGCAAAGGAAATGTGTTCTTTGGTTCATGGGAATTTGTTGTGTGTGAAAGAGGGGATGAGGTTATCACTTCCTTTCTTCTCCTCCATCTTCCTTCCATTATTTTGTTTTCATGGATCCTTTCAGCAATTTCCCAGAATCTGCATTTCCACAATCCATAGAGAATCTTATGTCTCCCTCGCTTTTCTCTCCTGTCCCTCCCCGCTGCTTGTTCTTTTTCCTGTAGTTGAAACTCAGATTGTAAGCCCCTTGAGGCAGAGACCTCGCCCTGTCCTCGTTTTTTTGCATGTATTTTGCTTCTTTTAATTGCCATAAATGTGCACCTGTGCTGTTATATAAATAAGCCCAGGATAACAAACACTAAATGTTTTATTGTATTAAGAGAGGCTATGTATGGTTAAATAGTTAGCAACTGGGGCTTTATACCTTATGTTTTTTCTTCTAAGACAAGTGCCCAAGCTGATCCAAACTTCGCTTGTGCTAACTTTCTCTGCTAACTTGGAATTGGAGAACCCAGAAGGGGTATGTGTGAAGCTTCTCCCTCATGTCAGCTGTTGAAGTTCTAAAAGTGTCCTTCCAGTCTGAGCCTGCCAGTTTCTAAATGTGGTACTTTTAGGTCACACACACACACACACACACACACAGCACAGTGAGAGAAAGAGTCTTACTCCCCTCCCTGCCCCCACCCGGATCCCCTTTTTGCATTTCTGAAACCCTGACTGAACACAATTTTGCCCTTCCCAGCACATTTAAGAGCTGGATCTGGGATTCAAGCCTTTATTTCCGACTTGACAAAACAAAGGGTTGATGGATTTTGGCTGATGAGCAAACTTTGACAGGAGAGGACTTGACGGCATCAGGACAAACCGGTCGGGCGCCTTTATTAAAGCATTTTGCCTCTTCTGCAACAAGAGTTCATTGAACACTTTTTAGTTTCTTTTTAAGAAATGAAAACAAAAAAGGTTAAAAAAGTGAGAAAGAGAGGGACTTTTTCCAATCTGAGCTGAAATCCTAGAGGCGGAATCTTTAGCAACGCTTAATGATAGTTTTAATGCAGGATTTTTGGGCCCCACCTGCTCAGACAGCTGTTAAAATGTAAACAGCTGATTCCTCCCCTCCCTCCCCCCTCCCTTTTTTGTGTGCGTATGTGTATTATGCTGTTTTGCCCCGAGGAATCACAGGTGTGGCAAGCAGCCCCATCCCATCTCAAGCAAAGGTTGATCTGCAACAAATTAGTGCCAGCAGACTTAATACGAGGTAGAACTGCAAATCGAAGTGCTGGTGTTTTTGCATGTGCATGAAATAAAAGCTTAAACCTCCCCACTTTCAAAAAATAATAATAATCTGGTTGGCAAAGAGAGTAAAAGATTTGAGTAGTTTCTGGCTGCTGAAATGTCTTAGGGCCATGTGTACAGGTGGTGAAGAAAAAAAGAACTAGATGTGAAAGTGGAAAATCTAGCTGCCACCTCTGCTTGGTGTGATTCAGCATTTAACAAGCTCCCATTTCACTTTAATTTTGCGCTGTATTTTTAGTTTGATGTTTCAATAGCATGGGAGTGGTTGCAAGGGGGACACTGGAGTCCTGGCTTCATGAGAGCTCCTCCTCCTCCTTCCGGACGTCAGCGGCTGCTTCCTAAAATGTCTTTCTCCACCTTTCCTTCTCGGAAACTTTTGATGGGTGCAGGGAATAATAGGAAAAGGTGAAGGGTGGAAGCCACGCCGCCGCATTTGCAACTTCAGCTAAAAAGAAAAGTGCCATGCCCAGTGATGGCTTCTAGATATAATTAAGGACAGCTCGCCAGGTGGGCTGCCAAGTGGCTAATAATAGTGCTGCTGCGTGTCTCGAAAGGTCTGGAGGACTCAGGAAAGCGAGGGGGTTTATCTGCCTGTGGTGGGCTTCGCAGGAAGCTTAAACAGAGAGAAAGGTGTCAGTGCATCCAAAACAGCTTTGTTGGGAGTGTTGTTGGCCAGAGAGTGTAGGAAGGTGCAAGCCAGCGGCTGAGAATGGAAGCCTATAATTAGAAGTACTTCCTGCTCTGCACCTGCTGTAAACTTGATGCTGGGACTGGAAGGGGTGGGTGGGGAGAGATGCTGTTTTTGCCCAGGCACCGTTTGTTAAGTGCAGTTTGGCGTTGGCTCTTGGGCAGCTGAAGAGAACAAACAGAAACAGGATTAAGCTGTAGTTTTGCCTACCATGCCAGAGCACAGCAGAGGCAAGCGTTCCTCTCCTGTCAACACCAGCAGCCGCCATTTTCTCAGCCAAAAGGTAGGAGGGTGTTCACCGATAACAGAGCTGGGTCTGCTAAGTAGCTGTTGCTGTTGTTTTTTGCTTTGCTTTTGGGTAGTGCAACATTCCCTCAACCTGATGCCCTTCAGATGTTTTGGACCACAACCCTCCAAAGCAGATGGAGGGCACCAGCTCAAGGCAAGGCTGTTGCAGAGTGTCTCTGAAAAGCCTTGGACCTATTTGCTTATGCAAAGCAGGCACGGTTTCCAGGCAGTCGGGCAAGGGGGAAATTGACAAAGCAGAGGGTGGTTGTTTGTTTAGGCATCTTTGCCCAAGTGGCTCGTTCAGGGATGACTGGCAGAATCTGCAGAGTCGTTTTCAAAGTTGAGACCTGCCTCGTTTACCTTGATTTGTCTAACAATGGGATAATGGGGCAAGGATTTTGAGATGAAGTTTGCTCCTGAGTACTCACCAATGCATGCTTTTCAAGAGAGTACCCGTTTTAATGGCCACAAAACACGGGGCCTTTTATTGTGGTGGCCTCCCAGTTATGGAATGCTGGCACTCATATTGCTGCCTCTGGCACCAGCTTAGCATGTATGTTTCCCCCTGGATTTTAAAGATCTGTAGTATGGTTGGTGGTTTTAATGTATGTATTTGGTGATTGATTTTAGTTTATAGTGCTGTTTTGGGTGTGGGGTTTTATGCTGGCCTGCCTCTCTTAAGCTTACTGTGGTTTTCTTGGAGTATGACTTTATGGCTTTTATTTTACACTCTCTTATTTGTTTGATGCCTAGATAATTTATTTTACGGGGCATATCCATACATATATAATAAGTAACAAAGGTATGCTACCTTGTCTATGACACAGCTGAGTGTAGCATGTAGTTTAATCACTGTAGGGTGACCCATCTTAATTAATAGACCCAGGTTAGGCCCCATCTGCTCTATATATTTACAGCTGTATCATACTGATTTAAACAGCAATGGCTTTCCCCCAAAGAATTCTGGGAGCTGTAGATTGTCAAGGGAGCAGAGAATTGTTAGAAGACCTTATTCTCCTCACAGAACTCCAGTTCCCAGAGTTCCCTGGGAAAAGGGATTGCCTGTTAAACCACTCTGAGGATTGTAGCTTTGTCAGGGGAATAGGGTTCACAACACCCTTAAAAGTGGTACGATGAGGCTTTGAACACACAGTGCCGACAGAAGGGCCTTAATGTGAAGCGGACCTTAATTTTGTGGCCAAGTTGAGTATTTGAACCCAGGCAATAAAAGTCCTAACCACAAATAATGCTGCTTTAAATGTGTAGAGCAGATGGGGCCTTGCCATGCCCATTTGCTCCTGAGTGTGACTAACATTGGATGCAACCCAGTTTTTCTGTGTTTCTGAAAACCTCCTTGTGCCTGTCTCATCTCTACAGCTTTAGAGTGTGCCCCATATTTATTTATTCCCATTGCTCATACTGTGCCCATCTGCCCCTCTGCCTCCTGCGTGTGGCAAACAGGCTCCTTGGAGAAAGCATTGACACCCTGGAAAGACAGCATCCATAGCCTTCATTTTACCCCTTCCGCCTTGCGTGTTTCCTCTGCCTCCTATTCCCCTGGCAGCCCCTCCTTGCTGATCCCTGGAGCACCTGCTGGTTCCTCCCTCCCGGCTTGTTGTTGCTTTTCTGAGAGGGAAGAGAAGGTGAGGTTACAGCACTTTTCTCCTGCTGCTTTATTGGCTGCAGAGGCAAAAGGTGGTCTCCTTCCCTTTTCGGCCGAGTCCAGCTGCGTAATAATAATAATAATAGCCTTGCTGGATCAGACTAAAAGGCCACCTAGTTGACTTTGCTCCTTCTACGGCTGGAGGCACAAATGCTTCTGAACATCAGTTGCTGGAAACCTGAGGAGGGCAGAGTGCTCTCGCGCTCGGGTCCGGCTTTGCAGATTTCTCACAGGCATTTGGTCGTCCATTGTGAAAGCAGAATGCTGCACTAGATGGACCCCTGGCCCGATCCAGCAGGCTCTTCTCCTCTTCTTCTGTTTTTGTCCTGTTTCTAACCATGAATGATGGTGATGTTGCTGCTACTGATGCTGCCCGGCTTTAAGAGAGCCCAGGTAGCTAACGACAAAATAGTACAATGTTAAAAATCAAATGTAAGCACAATGTGAATTGTAACGGACTAAATTATTACACAAGTACAAATTTGTATTTGTATATTAATATACCGGTAGTTGGATTAGGTCAGTGGTGTCCAAACTTTTTTCAAAGAGGGCCAGATTTGATGAAGTGAAGGGCCATGAGGGCCGGCCAAAGGATTTAGGATTGAAGTTGAACTTTTTTAAGGATTTTACCCCAAAGTGGTTGAGGGTTTTTTAGGATTGGGTTTTTAAAAAGATTTTACCCCAGGACATAAACTGCCACAGGGACCGGATTAAACCTGCAGGCTGGATTAGGCCCCCAAAATGGACTTTGGACATGCCTGGATTAGATGATCCTTCCAACTCTGACGTATACAGAGAGTTAGTAGAGGTGCATCTATGCAGACATGGAAAGTAACTTCCCAGGGTTCTAGATGTTTATGTTATGTAATTTGAATCTAGCATTAATTTGTTTGACATTGAATCATGCAAATATAACTGCTTATGTGTTTTAAAGCCACTTTGGGTCACTTTTGTGAGGAAAGTGACTAACAGCGCTTTTAAATAGCAATGTGCTGTTTTTTACTATCTATATTTTAATAGATCATTTTAAATAGTTGTAATTGTTTAATATTGTTTAACGACTTTTTAATTGTTATCTTTTATTTCCCCCCCGCTTTCTATATTTTATCTGTGTTGTTTTAATCTGTGTAAATCTCCTTGAGTCTTTGAGTGGTAATCTGTGTTTTACAATGGCTGCATTCATGGGCAGTTTATTCCATTTTCACAATGTTTCTCTGACTATTAATTTCCACATTATATTTGAGCTTTCACACAACATAAAAGTCTCTTCCAGAACTGAAGTGAAGAATCATGGAACTGTAGTGGAATATAACACATCTTTAGTATTCATTTCCATGGTTGCAAATGAATTTTTCCCCTGGAAGCAAATAACATGGAAATGAGCACTGATTTTGACCTATCTTCCACTGTAGTTCCAGAAGTAGCTTATACGTCATGTGAAAGCTCAAATGCAATGCAGAGCATTAACAGTTAAGGAAGACTTGTGAAAACTGAATAAATTGCCATGAGATTGCAGCCTGCGCTCCAAAGGCCTGTTGGAACAAAGAGGCTGCCATCTGACTGCATGCAATGTAGGGGTCAGTCAGATCGCAATGGGGAGGGAATTCCATAGCTGGGGTGCCAACACTTGCTGAAGGATAGGCCTCTAACCCCTTTGAAAGCCATTTCAGCTGGTGGGCCTCAGCACATCTTGCAGCTGGGGATTACATAAGTTGATTATGTATCAGGTGAATAACTAGTTCCTTCTGTCAGTCAAGCAGTTCCTGCTGGGTGATTCTTTTTGGGGAACCCCCATGCTTCTCTCCCATGCTGTATTATATTGGGGTGGGGAGTGGGGAGGAACAGACTGATTATAATAAATTCTCTCTCATGAGTGCCCCATCCTTTCTCCCTCCTCCAAACTAAAGACACCGGTGTACCTTTGACTTTACTCCCGTGGCATGGGTAGTGTGAGCCCGGCACCTTCCAGATGTTTGCTATATCACAGCGCCAATCATTCCTGACTATTGGCCATGGCGACTGAGGACTGTTGGGAGCTGGAGTGCAACAATATCTGTAGCGGCCAAAGGTTGCCCTTGAGCCCCTGATCCCTTTCTCTAACATTTTCCCCTTTTCTATCTCCAAGGTTCTGTTGCAAAATTTGCTGAAAGGTCCAAATCACCATGACTTTATATATACAGTGGTACTTTGGTTTAAGAACAGCTTAGTTTGTGAACAACTTGGATGAAGAATGCAGCAAACCTAGAAGTAGGTGTTTTGGTTTGTGAACTTTGCCTTGGAAGCAGAACATGTTCTGCTTCCTGTTGAGTGTGTTCCATTTGAAAATTGAGTCCCCCGTTGCTATGGGAAAGCACGCTTTGGTTTAAGAACGGACTTCTGGAACAGATTAAGTTCATAAACCAAGGTACCACTGTGTGTGTGTGTGTGTGTGTGTGTGTGTGTGTGTGTAAGTGTGTAAATTTTGTTGGCCGAGGAATGCTTGTTCTGAGCTGGAGCTGAACTTGTTCTTGCTTGCCAAGTCATAAGTTGCACTTCTTTTGAGTCTGTGGAGAAGTAACCGCTGCACTACAAAAACAAACATGAAATCCTCTTCTGGCAGCTCCTTTTGTTGTGTGAGAGGAGAGGGGCTTCGCAACCAAACAACAACAATGCAACGTTATTTCTCTGGATCTTTCTACAACTATTGCCAAGTTGTCAAAATGTTGAGCTGTGTTACCAGAAGTGCCTCCCTCACAAATTATGCCGGCGTTGGGGGGGATGCTGCTGCCTGATAAAACTCCTAGTCGTAGTGGTAGGGTACCTTTATGCAGGCTTGTAAGACGACTCCCCAGATTGCTAGATGTGTGTGTTAAATAATTTGAATCCAGCATTGAAATTTTGACATTGCTAGGTCAGACCACATTTTGATTTCTTTCCTCGCATTCGATCTCTTCAATCTGTCACTGTTTGGACAACCTGAAGGAACAGTTTCTGTATGTGTGTTCCTTCTTGAATGTCTCTGAAAGCAGGGGTGATGCACTTTGGGCCCCGGGGTGCCAAATGTGGCCCTCCAGCCCTGTCTGTCTTGCCCTTGGAACTCTCCCCAGGTCACAGCCCTCGCTGGCCCTGCATCAAATCCTAAGTGTTTCTGCCTGGCTGAAACATGTCCTTCGATTCTGAAAGGGCTTCTTGCTTGTCTGGATGGGAGGATACAGAGATGAAGATGATGATGATAATTTATTATACCCTGCCCATCTGGCTGGGTTTCCCCAGCCGCTCTGGGCGGCTTCCAACAGAACACTAAAATACAATAACCTATTAAACAGAGAGGGTGTTTGAATATGTGTACATTAGTTGCTCTGCCCACACTTCCTCCTGACCCTGCCCACCACTGATGTGTGACAAGTGGAGGTTTGTCTGGGAGGGAATGCAGCCTGAAGAAGGCACCCAACCCCAGTATTAGAGGATGGTCCCAACAGCCAGCCCATCACTTGTTGCCAAGCCAGCTCTGCAAAGTTGCTAGCCCAGCAGGCCAATACAATGTGGGTCATAGTAGCAGCCAGAAAAAGTTCTCATCAAATGTACAAAAACATGCCTCTAAGCTGTTGTCACATGAGCGCACAAAACTGCCTTCTACTGAGTCAGACCATGGGCCCAGCTAGCCTTGGGTTCCCTACTCTGTTTGGGAGACGTCTTTCTCATCAGATTCCACCCCATCCTTTGAAACTGGAGATGGCAGTGATTGAACCTGGGGCATTCGGCACATGAAGCAAGTGTGCTCTACCAATGAGCTGTTTGTTGCCGGCTCTCCAAATTCACATCCCGGTATTATCTTTGTCCTGAAGCTTCTCAGCACACTGTGCTGTCCTTTCCGAGTTACTGAAAAATCAAGCTGTTTTTAAGAAATGACATAAAACAAGCCAGCTGTGTGGAAAGCAGATGTGGTGGGGTGGGGGGAGTTGGTTGGAAGAGCTTGCTGAGTGACTGAGAATGCATTTGGGTGAGCAAAGTTGTATCAGCAGTACTGGTGGTGCGAGAAGGGAAGTTTGTCGAAAAGCCCCATGACTGTTCTCCTTCTGTCACTGCAGAGGCTGTACAGATGAAGACCGAAGAAGAGGTGGGTTTCTTGAGGGATCTCGCTGAGAGCTCGGCTTCCGAAGGAATGGTGAGTTCTTGTGTATATCCCCTGTTTCAATCATGTCTGAAAGTAAATCTCTGTGTCGTAAATGGCCATTTTCCTTCTCTCCCTTGCCCTTGTTATGAGGAAGCCGACCTTGAGTTTTCCTTCTCTCCCTTTTGTGGAAAACACCATTGTTTCTGAAGTTGATGCTTTGTTTCTGGGAGATCTTTTGGACTCATGGTGGAAGGAATATAGTTTGGGCCAGTTGCTTTGCTGTTGTGATCTGTCTCTCTTCCCCCACCAATCCACCCATCCGCCTGCTGTCTGTGCGCAATAATTCCCAGATTCTCTGCTTTCTCAAAAAAGGAGAAAATAATAAGTTTCTAGCATTTGTAGAACCTGAGATACGAAGCAAAATTTACAGGCACTAAATCTCATTTTTTGGTGATAGATTAGCCTTCTCTCGCTCCCTCTCTGGAAAAATTCCTGCGGATTATGCCCAGTCAGTTTGCGGGTTGATCTTTCCTGTCCTGCTCCAAGAATGGAGTTGTCATTGCATGCCTGCTTGCCTTGGGGTGATTCACTGACATGTGCTAGATGAAAGAAACTGCCCTGGTCCAGAGTAGCTTAGAGAGCTAGACTGACAGTCAAGGGATGACTGCTCTGGTCTTTTCTGAACACGCTTCCTTGGTTTCTGGTCCTCCTCCTCCACTGAGTTGTCTTGTGTATGCCAGTGACCAGCAACTGGCAGCTGAATCTGCCCCCTTTTCCTTCAATTTATCACATGATTCAGAGGATGCACTTTTATTATCTAGTCAGCTCTTTGCTCAGCGAAAAAGAGCTTATTTTTAACCTATCCTCTTGCATTAAAGTGAGCCGAGTCTCTTCTTGCACACCACACATGTAAAGTGCATTCTCTCTCCCCCCCACCCCCAAATCTTGGGAACTGTAGTTTGTTAAGAGTACGTAGACTTGTAGCTCCACCTTAGGTATCAGACTTTTTGGAAAGCGTTAAATAAATGGGGTTTCCTGTCTAAGCATTGATTGAACACAGAGCTGTTTAGTGTCAACTTGAGTTGCGGCATCACATACCTGGGACTAGTGAGTTGCATGTATGGGACATGATGCTGTGCTCTTTATTCTGAATTCCCACCCCACCCTCCTGAAACCACATTGGATGGTTGCAAAGCAACGAGGAGAGCTCTGTTCTGTTTCAGTAAATTCTTTGGACTCTTTATGCCTGTGTGCTTTTATCTGAAGACATGGTGTGAGCAACTTGGGATAACTTGGGGTGCCTTGGAGGAATCATAGTCCCAACAAAGATCTCATTCTGTAAGGGTACTTGCTTTAGAAAAACAGCTTGCAAAATTTACCAGCTGTTGCCATTGTCTTGTGTGTGGTTCTGCTGTAGTGATAGACTCCAGTTTTGTCATCTTAGTTTGGTATACAGCATCTGGCGTATTGCTGTCGATGCCAGCTGACAGTTGCGGCAACTGTGTAAAGATTTGCTTTATTGTGATGTTTTGGCCTACTTTTGAAGCTGTTCTTGTGCAGCGGTGGTTTTCAGATCGACTAATCCACCGTGGATCTCTGTACATGTTGCAGAGCGTTCTGGGGTGAGTTCTAAGTCTCATACTCTATTCATATGTGCACAGTTTGGGAATGTTGGGCTGCTCTGAAAGTGCTCCACAGAGTGTGTACCTACAACAGCCTTTGCTTACCTGGTTGCAAGAGAAGCTTGTGTTTGGATGACATTCTAGGCCTAACCATGGCTTATATGCTACCAGTAAGGACCAGTAGCAGCTGCAGTCTTCTCTCTGGAAACCTGCATATTCACACTAAACTGTGGTTAGAGTCAGAGTCCAATAAAGCAGGGATGTCCAACGGGTCAGTTGCAATCTACTGGTCGATCACGGTGTGTGTGTGTGTGTGTCTGTGTTTCCGTCTCCGTGGTAGAGCACGGTTGATCATGAGATCCCCCCCCCCAAAAAAAAATCTCAATAATTTTGACTCCCTTAAAAGAGCTCTTTGGCTCCCTAAAAAAAAAAAAAAAAAAAAAAAGCTTAGCAACTTTAGTCAATCCAGTGGGCAGATCACCGCCAGTTTTTTTTATAGTGGGAGTAGATCGCAGTCTCTTCTAACTTGGACATCCCTGCTGTATAGCATTTCAGAGTATTCAAAGCCTTCTACATATATTATATTGCTCTAATCCTGTGCAAGGTAGGTTATTATCATCTCCATGTTGAAAACTGTGGGGTGAGGGAAGGAAAGCCTTGCATAGAATCATAGAGTTGGAAGGGGCTATGAGGTTCATCTAGTCCAACCCCCTGCAATGCAGAATCTTTTGCCCAACGTGGGGCTCGAACCCACAACCTTGAGATCAAGAGTCTCATGCTCTTCCAACTGTGTAGACCTGTTGAAACTATTGAACTTAAAATTGTCGTGTGTCTATTTACCTCAGTGGTCTACTCTGAGTAGGCATAGTATTGGATACAACCCAGATACAGGAGCGGAGATTCAGGCCACCCGTTGACTTTGTGGCTGTGGTGAAATTCAAAGCAGGGTCTTGCAGACTTGCTTTAGGTTGGTCATCAAGCTAATCAGCTTTCTTTTCCCCCAATGGGATGCATAGACTTTGTTGAAATAACTGCTGTGGCAAGAGGGAGAGCAGCCTGGTCCTATCTATCAGCTAGAGAAGGAAAGCTCTTGCCCAGAAGAACATTCAGCTCCCAACTTCCAGATGAAGGGCAGCACACTCTGACCTGCTTCCTCTGCCTCCCAGGAAAAACATCATGGCAAAAGGGAGCCCAACCTGGTTCGATCCATCAGGCAGAGAAGAAAAAACTTGCTGTTCTCCCTTGCAGGAAAGAATAACTAACAGGAGATTTTAAAACAAAGTACTAGGGTCTGTACTTACGCAAGCATATCCCACCCACGAGGTGGGGTGAAGCTGCCCCAATGGGTGTCAGAAGCCCCCAAGCCAGTGCCCCCACGGGTGCTCTTTTGCCCCCCACCAGCAGAGAAGCTGGTGCCAATTTATAGCGAGATCTCATGGGATTTCACGGAGAGTGCAAGATTTCTGCGGCAGTGGAGTTGGAGTGGGCGGCACGGGGGCACCGCCAGGGTTAAATGGGATGTGCCACCCCTGCACTTATGTTTTTCCTTCTCCCTCCCATTCCCTTTTCCTTTTGTGTTGTGTCTTTTATATTGCAAGCCTGAGGGAAAGGATAGTTTCATTACTGATGGGGAGCTGCTGCTTTTCTTTTCTTTCTTTTTTACCAGCTGGAGAGCAAGGTTAAAACATTTTAAATAAATAATAAGTGAGTTGGGCCACCAGAAAGTTAAAAGGTGCTGCTGCTGACTTGCTCTACACATCTTATTATAGATAATTTCTGTGACTAATCCTTGGGCGTTTGCTTTGCGCAGAAAGGCCATCTGTCAAAGAGAGCGCCACAAGAATACACCCTGTATTTTGTTTCATGTTCCGTCTTATGAGCAAACCTGCCTCTTATTAGAGGACACTTGGTGCCTCTTACAAGTTGGCATCAAAATGCCCTCTTCTCTCTCATTTTTTGCTGCAGTTGAAAAGGGATAAAGCAGCAACCCTTTTGAAAACAAGTGTCATCATTATGCGATAGAAGTTGGAGCTTCTATTTTGCTCTTCTTTTTTGTTCCCCTGCAGGGGGGAAATGAGCTTGCACCAATCATTTCCTGCCTCTCTTTCTCTGTTTGTTTGTCTGCCTGCCTCCCTCTCTTCCCCATCTCCAGAATCTGGCTGTTCTGGTATAGGATTGGGAGTGCCAAGGCAAATGGAAAGTTTGCGGCTGGATTGGTGACCACAGTTTCCTGTTGCTAAGTTTGATGGAATATTTTTATTTTTTTTAAGAAAAGCCAACAGCACTGTATTAATGTCGCTTAAAATCTTCAGAACTCTGTGTAACCCTTCGACACATTTAGGTTCGCAATAAATCCCAAATGAGTAGTCACCAGTATATACCTCCCATTAATTTCTGTGTGCAGGTGTTAACATAATAAACTGCTTTATACTGAGTCAGACCATTGGTCCATCTACCTAGATGGGCAGTGGCTTTCCAGGGTTTCAGGCTCTACCTGGAGATGCAGGGAATTGAACCTGGGATTCTCTGTTTGCAAAGCAGATACTCTACCACTGAACTGTGGCCCTTGCCCTAAAAATAAGTATGATTCTAGTCCTCATGGGTCTGAAGAAAGGGCTGAGTCAGATCTTCAGTTCATCTAAGGTAAAAAAAAAAGGTAAAGGACCCCTGGATGGTTAAGTCCAGTCAAAGGTGTCTATGGGGTTGCGGAGTTCATCTTGCTTTCAGGCCGAGGGAGCCAGCGTTTGTCCGCAGACAGCTTTCCGGCTCATGTGGCCGGCATGACTAAATCACTTCTCTTTTTCTGTAAATGCTCTTTATTGATTTTATTAAGTGTTACAACTATTTTGTTCATTGTTAAAAATAAAATAAAAATAAAAAGAGGGGTGGGGATGCAAAAAAAAACCAACAACAAACAAACAAAAACAACAACAGTAAAAAACCCCACAAGAAACATCAGAACATGATAGTAAGATTCAACATCAAAAGCTGCTGATACAAAAAATCACAAATAATTAATCTTCTACTGTTTGAATGTGACTTCTGTCCACCTCACCTCGGGTCCTTTCTTCCTTTTTTAACTGCATCCTTTATCACCTTATAGTTCACCAGTATTACATGTAATACATTATCTGTCTGTCGTATATTCTGCGAAAATTAATCAGAGCACATAAAAGATGTTGCTTGGGAACAATGTTTTTTTTTTTTTTTAGTACACTCTATAACACTCCCACTCTTTTTTAAACTTTTGATTTGGTTGATTCCTGATTATTTCTGTCATCTTTCCAAGTTCTATATACTCAAATAGTTTTATCTGCCACTCCTCTTTTGTTGGAACTTTCTCTCCCTTCCACCCTTTGGCTAAACCTCTTCTGGTGCAATGGAACACTGTGACGGAAACCAGAGCGCGCGGAAACGCCGTTTACCTTC